TCCTTGTTGGTCTGGCAGAAGCCCGAGTTGGCATCGAGTCAGGGCCCGCGGTTCTGGTATGTGTGAGGCATGGGGATGTTCTGGATGCGATCACGATGAAGTACCACTATGACGGCACGCTGTACGTGTGGCCACGTGTGCGAGAGATTTCCAAAGAGATGCTTCTCGATTGTTGTTTTGGACAGGTTTTCTCTGCTGCCTTCGTAAAGACGACACATCCCCAGCGTGGAGTGAGACGTCGGAGCAGATGCGAGCGAAGGTGTGATACTCCTGCTGAGCACCTGGCCATCATGACAAAGTTCCTGACTGGCTACAGACGCTTGGCGGCAGAGTCGCTTTCCGCTTTCCTTCCGCTTAAGTTCAATCAGTGACGCTGCTGTCTTGAAGGCGGCATATGCAACTTCAACTACAAGCGGCGCCCGGACGGAAGGCGTGGGGCCGGGGAGCCCTCTTCCTGTGCCCAACTTGTCATCATGCATCATGCCTTCTGTGAGGCTCTGCATCTTTGAGGTCAATCCCCGAATTGGGGCTGACCTAGCTGGTGACGTGCCCAAGCCGCGAGCACGTGCCTTCTTTGATAGATTTGCCGAGATTGGGGGAAAAGCCTGCACGCAGTACTTATTCATCTCCATATCTCCCTTTTGAGCTCTAGATGACGAGTTCCTCTCCCGCAGCCAAGACAGCGTGCCTATGAGATTTGTCCCTGATTCGGCCTCGTCGGCCTCAGCAGACTCTGCAGAGCTCCATGGCGCTCGCTGCGGCCACGGCCGTTTGCCGCGACGATGCGGCGGATTTCCGGTTCCTGCACCTCCAGGCGGAACTTCTGCTCGAACTGCTTTTTCCCGCCCAGGCTTCGCCGGCCCATGGGCCGGCGAAGCCTGGGCGGGAAGAAGCAATCTGAGCAGAAGTTCCGCCTGGAGGCGCCGCTTCTTGCAAGACTTGCCTTCCCCGCCCCCGAGTTCAGACACGAAAGCTGATCGGTTCAGAGGAGCTCGGCCAAACTACTGCAGAAAGTCAAATAGGGCAAATCCAAAGCTCTGCAAGGTCGTAGGCTTCTTGGACGAGGGGCGACTGGTGCCCATGTCATGTCCAAGGTCTGCTGCAAGTCCGCTGAGCAGGAAGGGAGTCGAGGTGCCAGCTCCTGAGGCACCGGAAGAGAGAAAAGATTTGAACGCGACGGCTTTCTATCTCTTGCCGTCGGCGTTCTGGAAGTCGCCCTCCTTGTGGTGGAACGAACTAAGAGAGCCAGGTCGCCACATGTGGCGACCTGACTTTCCTACCCCGCTCCGCCCGGAATGGTATCCGTGCTGGAAGTTATCCTGCGTGAACTTTTGGGCGGCACTTCGCCGGGCACTCCACGAGATGTGCGCTTCGTGCCACTTTGTCTCAGTTTGCAGGTCCTGTAATCCTGCGATGGGTGCAATGCCCCCACGAAATGTGCTGCGCCAGTGTAGCAAAAGGCTTCGTGCCGCGTGTCTCACTTTCCAATTCCTCCAATCCTGCGATCGCCGCGATTTCCTCCTCACGTGATCTGTTTTCAAAAGTGCTTCATGCCACACCTCCAGTGCCTTTTTTCGGGAGGCCCTCCACAGCCTCCGAAGGGTGCCGGAAAGGCTCAGGCCTCACTGTTGAAGAGTAGAAGGTTCCTTTGAAGCATTCTGACTTCCCTCATGGAGCCAAGGCCTACATGGGCGGTCCCGGGCCAAGAGTAGCCACAAGCGGAGGAGTCTGGCGCTGTCGATCTGAGGCCCCGGGACACCCGGCATGCAAGTGCCTGGCATGGCTGGGGGACTCCCGGGCGCGGGGCCGCCCATGGACATGGCCATGGCAATGGGCATTCCCGGCGCGTTTCGATGTGCTGGCTGTCGTACTGTTGTCTAGCCACAGGGCATCGGTGCCCGTTCGCGTTGAGAGCAAAGTGCGGTCGCGTCAGGAATGAAGCTGGAGGGTTTGGGGTTTAAGGTTTCGGGGGGCCAGGGTTCTTCTGCGCAGAGGCTCCGCTCATTCCCCGCGCGGTACCAGCAACGCCCGCCACCAGCTTTAGTATTAGTAGCTGTTGCCCAAGACTTGGCCCTCTCCGCCCGGGACTGTTTCCAGCCTGTGCGGGTTCCCCACCGACAGCGCGTGCTTTGATATAACACGTGCTCAGAGTTTTGTATGTTAACTTCAGTTGTGCAAGCCCGTGTGCCGCAGAACTCAGAACATCCCCGAGTAAGCTCTGCAGAAGACTTGTCGCATGATGGCCTCGTCTCCGCAAGACACATCAAGACACAGTTGGCATGCCAGGGCCGCTGGGCCAGGGAGCTGACATGGGCTGCTTGGCAATTGCTGCCTCTAGCATCCTCCTGCTACTTGGTGAGCATCATATCATGCCCTCGCATGTTCAGGAATGGGCATGGCGGTCCCGGGAATGCCCATGGGCAAGGCGGGATGGGGCTCACATCCGGGCTCCAGCGTGCTTGCCGTCTGTCAGGGAGACCCGATGATCATGGGCAAAGGCGACATGGGGAAGTTTGGAAAGGCCGCTTGTAAGAGTATAGCACTTGTTTCCAGAGGTGCTGCTTGCTTTCAGCCTTCCAACCACCGTTCCGAACAAACGGCAGGGTGCAAAAGGGTTTTCAGCGAATGCGCAGCCGGACGTGCTGCACCCAGATCTGGCTGTGTGGATCGAATGGCCTGGAATGCAAGCCAACTGTGTTGGTGTGTGGCGGCCCGAGGTGCAGCAAGTTCTTGGAGCATATATTGGCCAAATCAAGAGCTTCAATGCCCCTCAGATGCAAGCTGAGAGTTGCGAGTTGCCATGGCTTTCCTATGAGCTTTAGGATGCCCATGTCTGCTCCAGTGAGGCAACGCATGGATTTGGCTTCATCGTCTGCGAGGGCTTGCAGCAGCAAGGCTTCATGCAGGATGCCGGCTTGCTCAGTGTTTGCCCGGTGCATCCAAGACGCAACAAGCTCAGGGCGAGACATGATCGGGCAACTGGTACCGTGTGTTTTGCAGCTGTTTTAGACAAAGATACAGCTCCTCATCTACCGACGGCCCCATTGATGTACTGCCTTAATCTGCCATGCCTCTTGCTGATTTCCATGGCTTGCCACGCAGTGTTCTTGTTTGCCAGTATTCCGCTGTGACTAACTCGTACATGCGACGGTGACAATTCCGAACTTTTTCTGTTAGCTATGGCGATGCAGCTGCCTGCGCCGACTTTCCAGGTGCATCTGCAGGACCTTTCCCAGCTGAGAGCGAGAGCCACACCCCGACGACAAGCCAGCGGACACGCTTTCTCCCAAGCTTCTGCCGTTTCGGTGCCCGTAATCGCTGGCGCCGCGGCAGGGGCTGCCTTCTCTCGGTGGAGTGAGGCGAGGGGTGGGCATCGTGGGCAACGCGGAGTAGGTGCCCGTGCAGCCTCGGCGAAGTCTGAGCTACTGGAGCTCCTCTCCGGCGAGAACTGGGATGCGAGCCGAGTGAACGCCGCACAGAGGGTGGAAGACCTTGTGGCAGAGCTGGTCGGGTCCTTTGACAAGACCAAGCTCGCAAGTGAGGAGGCCCAAACCCTCCTCGCTGGAAGGTGGAAGCTGCTCAACACCTTCACCCCTGGACAAGCGGCAGCGAATCTTTTCAGCCTCAAGAGCTGGCAGGAGTATGTCTTTGGGAAGGGACCATCTCCGGTTCAGGCTGCTGCCTTCACCAACAGTGCCGTCCAGAAGGCTAGCCGGGGCGTAGCGCAGAAGCAAGTGCAAGGGCAGTTTGACAAGAAAAGAGAACCATTCTCTTGGTGCAGCGAGAAGCAGGGCTAGGATTGGAACAGAAGCAAGCCGGCTTAAGGCGATGAAGATATTAGGGGAAAAGGAAGCCGGGAACCGGAGGCCAACGCTTACGCTGCACTGGCAAAGCCAATCTTATGCCAGATTGTCAAGGGAGGTCTGGGAGCGCCCTTTGTGGGCATTTCCTAAATCACTTTGACATCGGCGTGCGTCTGATCTCTATATGTTGTGTAGCAGGCCATTGGGCCTCTGAGACTATTGAGACCAGTGACTAGCTTCTGATGGGGAGTTGTAGCTAATGTCGCTACCAATCTGAGCCACTCCGTTTCCGCATGTTGCTGCGAGCGGACAGGTCTACCAAGCCCTGGACCTCACTGTCACGCCGGGTCGCTGGTACAACGTTATCGATGCCTCTCCACTTGGGATTATTTGCCTTGAGGCCGACCTCAGTACGGAGGAGCCCCAAGCCGCACAGAGTGAGCTGTTGTAAAAGCTTATGAAACCCGACGGATAAGGTTAAGGCACACCAGAAGAAGCTGCATTGCCCGCATTGCACGCATTGCCGCTTTGTTGTGGACAGGAGTCCGACTTGCGCTTCCAGTGGACCGGAGGCCGGATCGTGATCCGAAGGCCGCCCTGGACAGACCGCGATCTCGAAGAGCCCATCCGTTTGCCTTACCCGGCTGCTTTGTTTCAAAAGCGCTCAGACATGTGCCGGGGGCGGGGGGGTGGGGAGAGAGACGTCTTCAGCGGTTTCTGTTTTCAAGAAAGGTTCCTTTCAAGCTGCTGGGTGATCGGGCACGTGGCATTTTTGAGACGGACTACCTCGACGAGGACTTGCGTGCCTCGGCTGCACATAACATGAGGCCGACGCACGTCAGAGCATGTCGAAGTGTGCCAAGGAATCTCGAGAGGTTCCAAGAGTGGCAGCGTCTTCGTCCTGACTCGGGTTCGTTTCTCGGCTGCAGCTTTGCTGGGACCGAAGCATCCGCCTGCCTGGTGCCAATAATGATGCCTCTTTGCTGACCAGGCGATCCGCTGCCGATGGAAGACGAACTCGGCAAGATTGTCTGATTTCTCCGGCTCGAAGGATCGATTCAATGCGGCTGCAAAACGCAAGGAATGATGCATGTCCACATGGAGGGTTCTCTCGATATTGTTAGCGCCGCATCTTGCGGTCCTCATCTTTGGAGCGACACCTTAATGAGGGGATCCCCAACAGGACCCTAATTTAGAGAGCTGCCCACATGCATCCTTGCAGTCAAGCACTTGCATTCCGCGATGCTTCCGATGCCGGAATGTGGAGTTTTTAGCGAGCAAGGTCTACTTGCATCACAACCAGATCGGCGAGTGCCAGCCTGGTCAGATGGCAAACCTGACCTGTTGGTGCAGGATGCATACCGCATCACAGCTCATCACAGCGCCAAGCCAAAGACGTTTGGCAGGTCTCCTTCACGGCCTACCTGAACAAAAAGGGACAGCCCCAAGCCATGGATCTGAAGGCGCAGTGGGCTGGATTCCTGGGCCTGGGGATCTGCACCTCAGATCGACCGTGCGTTTGTGATTTCGTGCAGCGTTGTGGTGCAGGCATGCTGATTCGACCCTCTGGCACTGCACTGCTTGTGAGTTGGAGTCCTAGACTCAGTCGCTTTGCACAGCATCTCAAAGACTGAGAGAGTGGTGCAGAGTGCAGAGTGCCCCTTCCCAGGACGTGGGGAGTCGCGTCACGCGGAAGTCCTGTGAGATCATGGAGTTGCCAGAGTGCCGCGAGTGCAGCTGGGACCAGTCGCGATGTCGACTTGAGCGAGGGTCAAGGAGCGGATCCGGTTTGGCCGGGCATCCCGGCCGCTGCCCACCTTCATCCTCCTTCCCGCTGTGCTTCAGTGCGGGTGCGGGGCTTCCGATCCCCGGCGAGGATGAGTCGGAAAGGTCCGACATGTGGTCTGACAAGATGGTGGAGATCTGGCAAAGCGACCCCGCCCCGGCGCTGATCGAAAGCCAGCTGAGAGCGCGAAGTGGAGCAAAAATGTCATAGTCGCATACTGCCTCCATGTGCCGGTGGGGCTGCCGGGTTGGCTCTTCAGCCCTGGCACATGCATTCCCCCAATTCGTTCCTCGCTGTTTCGGCTCCAGATACCAAGCGCTTGCCAGTTTGTGCCGCCAGGGCCCTGAGGTGCAACTTTGCCCGAACGAACATCTTGGCGACAGCGTCTATTGCAGGAAGAGCCTGCCGAAGTTGTTGAAGCTTGAAAACCATGGACGCGCCGCTGCGATCCCAGGGAAGTCGAACCCGCTGACGTCTCCGTTTCCGGGCCCTCGACTCGAGAGCTGATTTCCCTGCGAGTCTAAGCCTAAGGTCTATGCTGAAAGGTTTATGTGGCCTCGATGATGCATCGCTGACCACAGCAGGAAGCCAAGTGAGCCGAGAGCTGAGCCGAGTCATTAGCCTCCGTTCGGAGCTCGGGCTCTCAGGTCATCACTGGAGTGCTCCAAAAAAGACCCGAGCTCGCGCCGGGCGTTGTCAACCTCGCAGTGCCGGATCTGGCCTTGGATTGCACCTGTCTTGCATTCTTGCAAGCGACGGTGCGGTGAAGGCTGAATTCAATTTAGGCATGCCCCCGTTTGTTTGCATCTGGCCTTCCCGTCCTAAGGAGCTGACGTATGTCCCTGCAGATGCCCTGACCCAGCGGCGTGCGAGCCAACCTGAGCTTTGAAAGGTTGGACTCCGTGTTCTTGCCAACTTAACAACAGTCAGGTCTGGCAAAGTCGGGCCGCCTGCAGCTACCGGCTTTTGCATCGTCGACTGTCCAGAGTTGAAGGTCGGCTCAAAAAGTGCTTTGCGTCTGCGGCGATCTCCTGTCATCTCCTGTCGCTCAGCACAGGCAGTCTTTGGGGAAGATGTCCTTGTGCACATGAACCAGGCTGCGTTGCATCTCATCTCGCAGATTACAAGGGGCTCGCTACATTCGTGACCCCCATGTGGCAGGGCTTTCAGTCTTCGTCCCAGACTGGTGTAGCTCTGACATAATGGAGCTCGGCAAAGACGAGAGGTGGGCACCATCCCGCCGGGGACAGAGGTGAACTTCGCGATTTTGCTGAACCAGGACATGGCGCATCTGCATGGTTGACACATAGCTGCGCAGTTCTTGTTCTTAGGAGATGCGGCCCCAAGCCTTCGATTTGCAGCCTATAGGCTCGAGGCTTACAAACTAAGCATTGGCGGATGAATGGCAGTGCCTAGCCAAAATGAGGACGGCAATCCGGTGCAGCAGCCGCACATGGCTCCCACATGCGTAGACCTGACAAGGCCCGATACCTCGTGGGAAGGGCACAGGCAAGGGCAAGGCAGGGAGCTCGGGGAGAGCTTGGGCACTGGGCACTGCTCATCTGCTGTTTTTCAAGCTGTGGCCTAGCAAGACTTGCTGCTCCGAGGCTTGTGGCTTCCGCAAGGGTGGACTCCTCAATGCCAGCGGCTCAGATCAAGCCATGCACACTCTCGAAAAGCGAAGCAAGCGCTGGGATGCGTCGGCGCGAAGAAGCATACGCAGCCAGACCTTGCAGACCTTCCGATTTCCCTGCGACCAACAGACGACCGATTTGCCAGAAGACCAGGGTTGGAAAGTTTCCTGAAGCGGTGTGTACTCTGCTCAGGCAGCGGGCTGGTGGGGTGCAAGTGAGGACAAGCTTCTGCCGACAACTCAGTCAGTGCCAGTGCATGCAGCAAGGTCGGATGCGGCGATTAGGACAGGCATAGATTTCTCCCCTTCCTCCTGAGCCCTTTGCAAACTGGCAACCAGGGGTCCGGTGCATGTAAATGATTCAAACGATATATCATGCCGACGTCCCTGATAAAGTCGTAGGGCAAGTGTGGCAGTGGGTTATCGTCGTTGGAAGCTGCCCATCAGGCAGGGCTGAAGCACATCGAGCAAGTGATGCTCGAAAGGGCGAACAGTTCTTTTTGCCTGAAAGGCAGCATCCCATTCTGCTTTGGAGCTAGATCGTCATATTGAAATGCTTGTGCGTGAAGTCGGCTGTAGCACGGCTGCTGAATGTATGCATTGGGACTCGGAGTACAGTCAACCTAATTCAGTGACTGTACAGGACCCTCAAGCATCTGAGCCAGAACGCTCAAGTGCTCTTCACACTGCTACTGTAGTTCTCATGACGGGGGATGCGCATCGATGTCAGGATGCGAGGGGGTTGAAAAGCTATGTCCGGAAAGACGAGTGTGAACATTGTGCGACTTGTCCTGCAAGTCCTTGTGCCAAGCTGCAACACTTTTCTGTGAGTATGCTGGTTACCAGTAGCAATGTCAAGACAGTGGTCCTGAATTTGCCACAGACTGCGACAGAATAGGCTGGCGTAGGTGCACGAGGGCCTCGGAGCTGGGACTGTAACTTCTCAGGCTAGGCGGCTAGAACCACTTTGTCCGGATAGCCTGGGGCAGGGCTATTGACAATTCCGAGCAATGTCCGAGCTTGCATTGTTCCACCGGGGCAGGCAGCGTGGCTCCAGCAGAAGCATATGTTGCCCCCTTGAGTCTTGCGATGTCTTGCGGCAGACATCTGGTCCAGCGACACGCTTCAGGAGACAACTGCCGCCGGCGCGGGGGGAGCCGAGGCTGAGGTGTGTGAAGCGGGTCGGTTCCATGAGACCACTCACAGCACATGTTTTTTCCTTAGTGTAAATGTACGTTGCATGGCAATAGCGGCCTCGTTTGCTTGGATCCTTGTCTATGCTTGCTGTACAGACTCAACGTCTTGCTTTGGCCCATGCAATCCTGCAGGCTGGGTTCAACAAAGAGTAACTGTGCATCAAACCACCGTACAGCAGATGCAACAATTAGCGGGAAGTGGAGCCAGCAAATCTGAGCTGCGCACCTGGTTGTTGCTGTCAAGCTAAGTCCACGCCACCAGCAGGCTTCTTATTGTGTTGGCGCTGGTATCAGTCGCTGGCAGCAGGCCATGAGTGGGATCCGGTAGGTATTGGGATCGGTGGCAAGATGCCCATCTTGTTACGTCAAAAGAAGCTTTGACACAACAGAGGTGCCACGCAAACAGGCAACCGAAACTCCATGACAGCCAGGTGTTGGCTCTCCGGAGGCGCGCTGCGGCGAGCAGCGCTGCTGTCGGTGGCCCAACTGGGCCTGCCGCCAGCTGAGGCGTGCGGCTTCGGGCTTTGAGAGTTGTAGGGCCGACCGCACGGAAGGATCAGAAGGCTCCGGGTGTGGGGCTGACGCTTCAAGATCTTAGGAGCTTGGGGCATGGCTTGGGGCTGTCGCAGCGCAGCCCAGCAGTGGCTTCGTAGTGTCGTATAGTGACTCGTAGGGGTTTCGGCTTTCGGACTGAAGCTCAGAGGCCTTCGAGAACCGAGTGGCCGAGTACAAGGGCCCGAAGACCCCAGGCAGCCAACCCTCGGGAGTTGGAACCGGGACGCTCAGCGGCTGCGGAGGCGCGGCTCTTTGCTGCCTGCATGGCTTTGTCCTTCTATGACTTCTATATACTTCTATGATGTTTGACAGTTTCCGCCCGCTGTCGCAGGGGCTCCGAACTGCTTTTCCTCTGCACCGGGCACGGACGAGGATCACTTCCTCGAGCCCTGGCTCTATGCCTCCGGTGGCATGGCCGGTGCCGTTGCGGACCTGCAGAAGGTGCCCTGTCCACCTTTCTGCAAAAGACAGCTGAAACCCGTTGTTCCGCCTCGCTGATCCTTGCTGAGGCCCTGAAGGATTACCCTCCGGGGCAGCAAGAAATCGATGGAGGGGGCTTTGAGATTAAGAAGATGGACCTGGAGAAGGGGTACATTTACGTGCAGTTCGAATCCTTGAAGAGGGGCTACATTGACGACGTAGAGTTCCTTGTGAAGCCCACAGACAAAGAGTCGGGGCAGGTTCTGGTCAGATCTGCCAGCAGGCTGGGCTATCTGGACCTGGGGGTGAATGCCAAGCGACTGAACCGACTCTCGCAAGCTCTGCGAGATGTTCCCAACGGCCGCTGGACAGCTCCAAAGATTTCCCAAGCACTCTTCCCGAGGCCTGCTCTGCCACGCTTGATGCAGGTTTGACAAGGACATGAAAGGTTTGGGGGGCCAAAGCATGTCGACCTGCTAATCTTCGATTGCAGGTATGTGAGTGAGAATCGCTGAGACCTCAGACGCTCCGCTCCAGGCCAAAAGTGGGCAGGTCAGGTGTCGCCCAGCTTTCCAGCAGAAGGTTGTGTCTGCATACGACTTTGTCTGAGTCTTTGCTTCAATCCGTCCAGCATTCTGTATCCAGGTGGGATATCCCTTGTTGGTAGCTCGTCAGCCCGTGCACTTAACATGGGCATAAGCGTCTCCAACGCCAAGCCATTGGGCACAGTTGCACAACTGACATTTTCCGTCTGCTCGCTCATGAGGGATAATTGTGGTATGTCATGTGATCTTATTTGTGCTAGCATGCAGCAAGGAAGCATTGCCTGGACTTACCATCTGCACCGAAATGATGCGAGCAGCAGCCGCGACTTCAGATCAAGTCCCCAGACATCAGTGAATCAGAATCACAAAATGAGCTGACAGTAGACACGGTATGTCACTTGCCGCTTCTCCGGTAAAGATGACCCTCCCAGGATTTTTCCTGAAAGCTGAGCCCAACATAGAACTTACCGCAGCATACCGCAGTCTGCAGAGCTCCAGCCATGGATGGCAACAGTGTCGGCCCTGTAGGCAGTGTTCCCAGTTCCGTGACACGAGCGCCCAGCTCATGAAACGACTGAATGTTGAGGCGGTGCCAAGACTGTTGAGCCTGTGGAGTACAACGTGCGTGCACCCTGCTCCAAATGTTAAAGCTAATCTCCGATGTCGGTTGAAAACGAACGATCCTGCAGGGAAGCTGCGTTGAGTATCGGCTGAGGACTTGATTTTGTACGCCCTTGGTATTGGCAGTGAGGATCTTCGTTATATTTACGACGCTTGATGGCAACGTGCTGTGATGTCTTTGCTTCGGAGCTTTCCACATCGCATGGCCTGGCCGTTGACTCGAGGAGAAGCACGAAGACTTTGCTGCATTTCCAACCTACCCCGTAGCTCTTCGGCTGCAGACGAAAACTCCAAGCACTCTAGAGAAGCTCCGAACTTCCACACGCTTTCTAAACTTCTCTACCTTAAGTCCAGGTTTTATGCTACAAGGGTGTCTCGTACGATGCGCTGCCGTTTCCTTCGCCGATTTTGGTGCCCAGCCGCAAATGTGAAGGTTGCATAGCTGTTTGAAGAGGTTTTCTCCAGTCGAATCTATGCGGTCTTACAGTAACTTGCGCAATCTCAATAGTGCGGCTTCGTGTTCCCAGGCGGCCTTCCCCAACCCTCCAATGCGGAATTCTCGCGGACCCTTGGACGCGGGCATTAGCCTCGAGCGTCTCGCGGAGCTGCCGAAGGGAGGAGGCCGCCTAAAGCTCGCCGGAGGCGCAGCGGGCAGCGGAGGAAGAGGCGAAGGGACGAACATGTTCTAAGTTGTATTTAATCTTCTGGATCAGGTGTTGCAAGCGCCCACAAGAAGGGCAAAGGTGCCTTGGTCGAGCGAGCCTTCGATCTGATGGACGACACAGGCCGGCTGCTTCCAAAGTTCTAAAAAAAAAGTCTCCTCGGAGTCCTCGGCGAGGCAAGGTCTACTACAAGTTTGTGGATGCCAGCTACATGGTCGGTGCCGACGGCTTCGAGGACTTCGGTCCTGTTCTGACAAAGCCAGTGACCGTGCCGTCCACTCCGCCGAAGCACCGAGTTGAGACCAAGATCGATCCTAGGGCTGCGAGCCTCTACCGTCTCTCGGGGGACTACAACCCCTTGCATGTGGACCCTGAGTTTGCAAAGATGTCCGGCTTCGATGCACCGATCCTTCACGGCAAGTGTACATTTGGCCATGCGACACGTGCGCTTCTGGACACGCTGGCAGCTGGCGATCACCGAAGGTTTCGCAGCTTGCAGCTCCGGCTGGTGTCGCCTGTGATTCCGGGTCAAACGCTGGTGACGGAAATCTGGGAGGTTTCGACGGAAGACTTCCTCTTCCAAGTCTTGATCAAGGAGACCGGCAAGGTATGCATCGGCAACGGACGTTTCCGGCTCACTCCAGCCAGCAAGATGTAGAAAAGACACTGCCCACACAATGCATTTGCGGCATGTTGCGACCTTGTTGACCGGACGAAACGTGCGGCAGCTTCTCTCGGCAGCTTGCTGCTTGTGCAGCCTCAAGCTTGCGCTTACCTTCTATGCTTGTTTGTGAGCTGGAGCATCTAGAGTCTAGATATCGGCCACCGGACGGAAGCTCTTTAAGTCAGTGCGGAAGCCAGCAAGCTATGAGTCTGACTTCTTGGCCGGCAGTTGCAGAGCACGAAACCTGCTGCAGTTATGGCACTTGCCCCTCCTCGAGCTCCAATGCCGACGCTCGCTCGCGGAGTCCGGGTTGAAGCCTCGTGGGGCACAAGGAGACACCATGAGTTCTTAGCTGTGTCAGCGCCCAGGGCGGTTGGAGTAGTCGTGGGGGCTGGGAACTCAGCCCAACAAAGAGAACCATTCTGAAGATTCTCATGCATTCTCACAGCCGCTGAGCCGAGGATGTGTTGCCAGACTCGTGGTCGCTGCCGGCTTTGCTGTGCTCGAAGCTCAGAGCCCTCTTACAAGAATCTCTGCAAGCATCCTTAGCTCGGAGCCGAGGATTGCGGCTCCTGGCCTGGGATTTGCTCCGGGCTCCAGGCCCACGCTTGCGCTGCTGCCGCCACTGCCTGCGTCAAGTCCAAGCCGAAGCC